GCGACGTGCACCACGGGGGGAACACCCAGCCGCCTCGGTTTCCAATAGCCTCTGCGACGGTCAGTCGTTTCCACCGGGAAGAGTGCAAAGATAGTCGCGAGTCGCAGGGTGTGGGGCAGGGAGACGGCAGTGAGAACCTTGCTGACCGTCCAACGCAACCCACTGTTCTACCATTCTCCTCCTGCGACGGTTAGTCGCCTACACCGGGAAGATTGCGAAATGAGTCGCCTCCACCAGGAATAGCGCGAAGATGGTCGCGAATCGCAAGTGGAGGAGCAGGAAGAAGTCTGGGAGGACCTTGCCGACCGTCCCCCACAACCTACTGGCAACGCGACCTCTTGGCACACCCAACCGCCTCGGATTCCAACGGACTCTGCGACGGTCAGTCGCCGCCACCAGGAGGAATGTGATGATAGTCGCGAGTCGCAGGGTGAGGGGCAGGGAGAAGACAGAGAGGAGTTTGCCGATTTTCCAACACAATGGAAACACGACCTCTGGGAACACCCAACCGCCTCGGATTCCAACGGACTTTTCTGTGATAATTCACCTACACCGGGAAGGTTGCGAAATGGGTCGCGAGCCACAGGAGAAAGGGGCAGGGAGAAGACAGAGAGGACTTTGCCGACCGTCCAACACAACCCACTGGCAACGCGACCTCTGGGAACACCCAGCCGCCTTGGATTCCAATAGCCTCTGCGACGGTCAGTCGCCTCCACCGGGGGGAGTGTGATGATACTCGCGAGTCGCAGGGTGTGGGGCAGGGAGAAGACAGAGAGAACCTTGCTGACCGTCCAACACAACCCACTGGCAACACGACCCGTGGGAACAACCAGCCGCCTCGGATTCCAAGGGATTTTGCGGTGGTTAGTCACCTACACAGGGAAGAGTGCGAAATGGGTCGCACAAGTATTACACCGGGACTGGGCGGTGCGGTGCCTAGTGGCTGCATTAGGCGCCGAAAGGGTCCAATGGGCTCCGATGCTCGTGTCTCCTGCTTCCTATTGCCGCAGCGGTTAGCTGCCACAACGGGTTGCCTACCGTGCCTGGCGTGCACTTCCCTTCCTCTCCCTCGTTTCACCGGGTTGATCCCGCGCGGCTGGAATTGCCGCCGGTACCGCTGTCTGATGGTGCTCTGACGGCCTGAACTCCATGCAAGGTTCACACTGGGAACGGGCGGTCAGGTGGCCCCTGACCTGCTCCTGGCTGGTGTCGGCCTCCACTGGTGACCGAGAGGGTTCCGTGAGGTCTCGCTTCGAATTCCATGCAAGGACCACGCTGGGGATGGGCGTTCAGGGGGCCCCTGGCCTTCTCCTGCTTGGTGTCTGCCTCCGCCGGTGACCGTTTGGGTTCGGTGGGGTCTCGCTACGCTGCCGCACTCTTCGGTGCAAGAACTTTGGCATGTGTGGGTCTGGGCGCCCGTCGGCTGCTTTCTCCTGCATGGACTTCGCTTTCGACCTGTGCCACCGGGTGTACATACCAGAGGATATGCCGTTTGCAGTTCTGTCTGTGACGAGGCTGCCCCCTCTTCACTCCGGCGCTGGCACGTTGCTGTTGCGTCACCTACGGCACGGATGTCGTCTTGGAGTGCCTGTCGGGCCTGCTCGTTTTTGTCGGGCCTTCTGCTGACTCACACCAGGTGATCGACCTCTGCGTATTCCTGGTCGCGCCGCCGCGACATTTTGGCTGCGCCTACCTGATGGTCGCCAACGGGATTTTCACGCCACCGGGTTGGGAGTGCCGTTCCTGGTCCTCCTTCTGAGTGACTGCCCGCGCGTTCGCTTCGCTTGCCCCTCTCTTTTCTTGCTGCCTTGTCGCGGCCCTGCTAGTGTTCGGACGGCTTTCGACTTGCTTCGCGAGCCCGCAGACCAAAAAGTATCCCCACCAGAGATTCTCGCGGTGCCGTGTAGCAGGCTCGGCTTAGCTGCCCATCGCTTGTCTGCCCGACTTTGTGTCGCCGCGCGGGTGCCCGCTCGCGGTCGCGATCCCAAAAAAATATCCCCACCAGAGTGCGCTGGACTGCCCGCGCAGCCCCACGCTTTGCCACGTTCGGTGGCCCGTCTACCTCTGGCGCCTGGCGCGACAAGGTACAATTCGTCCGTCTTCCCGGTGGTCTCGTCTCTGGGATGGCTGCACGTCGGCCGGCTGGCTCTCCTGGCAGCTCCTGCAGTCTGTCTTCAGCCCTGGCGCCACTCAGCATCCCTCGGCGGCAGCTTCGGAAGCCGTGGGTGCGTTCGCTGGGTAATGAGGCTCCGCCCGTAGCCCGGGTCGACGTTTGACGCCGCCTGCGCCTTCGCTTGCGGCTGCGACCCCAAATATCCCCACCAGCCCATCCCAAATCATCAACTTTGGCGAAACATACCAACTGTCGTGGTTTTCGCGCGTGCCTCCTCCTGCCCTCGCCTATCGCCTCTTGTTCTTCCTAATTCCTATTTGCTTCCTCTCACTTCTTCCTTGTGGGAAGAGTGGGAGGAGGACGGGCCGGACGAGGAGAAGACAAGGCGGTAGGATGAAAGAGGAAGAGAGCGACGACGACGACGACGACGACGACGGCGATGACAACGACGATGACGACGCACCCGACGACGACGGCGACGACGATGACGACGACGACGACGACGACGACGACGACGACGACGACGACGACGACGACGACGACGACTACGACGACGACGACGACGACGACGACGACGACGACGACGACGACTACGACGACGACCACGACGAATCCGACGCCGATGACGACGACGAAGGAGGAGGAGGAGGAGGAAGAGGAGGAATACAGAGGGCGAACAGAAGAGCCATAAGCCTTTAGAGTGACTCTCGGATCCTCCTCCGTTTTTTGCTGAAGTGCAAAGGAAAGGAGGAGGAGGAGGAGGAGGAGGAGGAGGAGGAAAAGGAGGAGGAGGAGGATGGGGAGGAGGAGGCGGGGGAGAGAGAGGAGGGAGGCGAGAGGAGGAGGAGGAGGAGGAGGAGGAGGAGGAGGAGGAGGCGGAGAAGGAGGAGGAAAAGGAGGAGGAGGAGGAGAAGAAGGAGGAGGTAGGAGGAACTTTCGATCAGAAGAGGCTCCTCGGATGTTCCTTGTTTTTTTCGGTTGAGGCCTCTTGGAGCGTCTGGGTGGCATCCTGGGTGCCTCGGGGATCCTCTTGAAGCCTCTTGGGGGCCTCTTGGGAGCCTCTTGGATGCCTCTTGGACTCCTTTTGGGGCCGTCTGGGCGTCTCTTGGGGCCCTCTTGGGGCCCTCATGGGGCCCTCTTCGGGCGCTCTTGGGAGCCTTGGGGGCGCTCTTGGAGCCATCTTGGAGGACATCCGTCAAAAAAGAGGGGTTCACCAATTAGGGATGCCACCAATGGTCTTGTGGGGTGCTCTTGGGGCCGTGTTGGGGCTCTCTTGGGCCTCTCTTGGGGCCCTCTTGGATAATCTTGGAGCCATCTTGAGGCATCGGAAGGCTATCGAAAGCGAACGTGCGACTATGCAAAAACTCATTGGTGTCCTCAGGTGTTTGAAGGATTCGGGCTTCTTGGCGGCCTCCTTGACGGTCTCCGAAGCCTTTTGGAGCCGTCTTGGAGCGGTCTCGGGGTCTCTTGGAGCATCTTGGGGGCCATCTTGAGGCATCTTTGGCTATCTTGAGTCATCTTGGAGCTCATCTTGGGCTCTCCGAGGCGCTCTTGGAGCCGTCTTGGGCCATCTTGAACGCTCCAACTACCAGCGACCCCCCCCCGTCCAGGTCCAGGGGAGGGGTAGGTGGAGGGGTCAAGCTACCAACACATACGTAACACCCGAGCCTGAGCATGTTCAGCAGTCGCCTTTGAATGGGCAGATACTTGGAACCGAAGCCGACCCCAGGTGCGCGACGCTTGGGCGCGGTGCGCCACGCGTGCCAGGGGCGCCGACCGCGCCAGGCACCCCTGGGACCCGTGCGTGCCTGGCACGCCTGGTGCGCCAGATGCGTCACGTGTTCCGAGTGCGTCAGGCGTGCCGCACACTCCAGCCGCGCCAGGTGCACCACGTTCGGGGCATGTGCAGAGTGCGTCAGGTGCGCCTGCGCACGTGGCAGCACACATCGGGAAACATGTCGGCCCCCGCCATCCTTGTCGAAAACCCATGCCCATCATTGTGTCTGGTGGGCCTGCGCACAGCAGGCCACGCGCCACCACCCCCACCGTCCCTGTCAAACACCACTTGACAGTGATCGTGGGATGGCCGCGCATGATCCAGACTTAGCCGCGAGATGCATGTTGTAATGGTTTATGTCAGGGATGGTAGCACTGCGCACAGCAGGGAATAAACTGACACCCCAGCCGTCCCTGACAAAAACAATACAACATGCTAGCTGGCACCACGAGCATGACTCAAAACTTTGCCCCCAAGTGTACTTTGTATTGTTTTTGACAGAGGGATGGTGTGTGTGTGGGGGGGGGCGGGGGCGCGTCGGGTAGGCCGCGCATGCTCCAAATGTGGAGGCAGAGTGCGGTTTGTACTGTTTTTGTTGACAGGGACGTTTGGGGGCGGGCCCACATGGAGTCGGCATGGTTCCGGGTTGGCCGCCGGCCGGGATGGGGAGGGGGCGTACAGTAATAAGGAACAGTGATGAACCCTTCCCTGAAGGGGAAGGAGGGGGTTCGAAGAGGAGCGGCCCTAGACCACCTACGCCCAGCGGGCTGGTGGGAGTCATTGGGACTGGGCGTCCGAGCGATGGCGAGGGCTCGACCCCCGGCCTTCTCAGAAGGCTCGGACCCCCCCCGGCCGTCTGAGAAGCTTTCGGGGCGTCCCCCGAAGACACAGGAAGCGTCTCAGGGCGCCGCAAGGGCTTCTGAGAAGTCCCGCCGCCGCCCCCCCCCCCCCCGAGCGGCGCGCGACGGGCGTCCCAGCGACGGGGGCTCGACCCTGGGCCTTCTCTCAGAAGATTCGGAGGTTCTAGGCGCATCCCCCGAGGACACGGGAAGCGTCCCCCGAGTACCGAGAGCACGCTCCGTCTCCCGCCGCCCCTCCCCCCCCCGAGAGGGCGCGACGGCGCCGCGCCCGCCCACGTCTGCGAGCTGCGGCTGGAGGAGCTGGCCTGGTGGCAGGCACGCGGCGCCGCGCGCAGGCGCGTGGGGGGGGGCGGCTGGGGCGACGGGTCCTCGGGATCCCCCCGCCGCGGAGCCAGTCAGCGAGGAAAGGGCGCAAACGTCTTCGCTCTCTCGTTTCGGGAGGAGGAGGAGGAGGAGGAGGAGGAGGAGGAGGAGGAGAATTTGAATTGCGACCTGATTCGCCATGAACAGCGGTCAGATAGTGTCGGCACTCAGCTAGCTTCATACACACGAGCAGTCGAGAGCATTGAAGCACGGGCGCCAAGGAGAGTACATGTTCACGGCCCAGCCACCCCATGCTCACCCCCCCCCCAACGACCACACCCAAAGGTATGACAGCTTGGCGCCGCGCGTGTCAAAACAAGACCAGGCTCCGACCCCAAACGGGCGGAGTACATGTCAAGACAGCTCCAATCCCACCCACCAACTGGCCCATCCCCGACCGTATCGCTTGCCGAACAGGCTACGCCATTGACGGTGCACGAGCGTGGGGAAGAGAGAGGGGGGAACATATACAGCAGGAGAAAGAGCAGGTGAGAAGGACATCGTCTCTCAGCGAGTCTGCTGCGGGCACCATCGCGCGGGAAAGCATGGCGGGGCACGCTATTCGCACTCTCGGCCAAGCCGCCCGTGCCTGAGCACCATCACGTGGCACGCACTACAACATGCAGAGAGACGGTCCTGACAAACACATTTCACGGTGTCCGCATCCAGTGGGCAGGCAATGCAGTGACAGCAGGCGGCAGCAACCCTTCCTTGCTACCCCAACCCTGCAACAGACCCGACCCTGCTACCACTTCTCTGCCGCTCTCCGCGCGCGTGGAAGGGTGCGGAGGTGGAGGCAGAGGGGAATACATGAAGGTGATACTCCATGGTCCCGAGGGGATACACGCTCCGTCGCATTTAAGCCATCGTGGGCACCCGTATGGGCTCTACGGGTCTACCCCTTCGGGAAATAGTGCACCGATGGGGCAGCTTGACATTCGCCTCTCCGCTTGTCCTCTGCAAACAACACTTCGCCAGCTCGGCGTGGCGGGGCACGCTATTCGTACTCTCGACCCTCGGCCAGCGCGTGGGGTCAAGTATGTGACACCATGAGACAAAGCAGCCGCCCTCCCCATCGACCTTAACCCTGCTCCAACCCTGCTACTCCTTACTGCCGCTCGCAACACGCATGCGATGAGGGGAGCAGGATGAGAAGGGAAGATGAGGATGGGAGGGGCCATGGGAGTCACACCGGCCTCAAGAGGGGACACCTCGGGGCCAGCAATGCTCTCCAGGCTCGCGGGGGACGCCCGCGGAATCTCCCGCGCACCGTCGTCGACACGTGCGGACATCCACATCCATGGTACCTCCGTCGCTGCACTGACATCCGTGTATGCAACCAGTCTGTGCAACTGTGAATCGTCGATCGATGCATGCTGACAAGTCCGCAACAACATTATGCAGACGCGCATGGAAGAATGGAGTCGATGCAAGAAAAGACGAGGCAATTCGTACTCTTCTTTTGACTCTGAGACAATTTTTGTTCGCAAGAGAACATGCCGCGGCAGGCCTGGACAACTCATCCACGAGCCTGCTGCAATCTGGAAGTGGATTTCGCGGCAAGACAGCACTGTACGATTGAGCCTGCAGCCCTTGCGGAGGTGACGCGCGCTGGGCAAGAGCCAATCCCCACTGTCGGCGTCCACCTCCGTGGGGAGGGGGGGGAGGAGGAGAAGGAGGGAGGATAGGAGGGAGGCGTAGGCGGGGGCGGAGCAGGAGGAGAAGGAGATGGAGGGGGAGGTGGGCATCGCCATCATGCAGGCGCTCGGTGGCCTCGGCGGATGGGCTTTCGGAGACGCGCTCTCTCCGCCTGGGGCCCACCTGGGTCCTCTCCCCCTTCCCTCCCGTTTCCCTCTGGCGGGCGGCGGCTTGGCGGGCGACGGGACGGGCTTCGACGACTCTGACGACCTCCCTCCCCGTCCTGGTGGTGGTGGTGGTTCCCTGGGTGCTGACAGCCGATCTAATCAATTCCGGTCCGGTCCTGTGGTCCACCAGCTTTTTTCCTGCTTTGCGCCCGGGCCTCTTGCGGCCTGGAGGCTGCCCAATTTTTGTCAGGAGGGGACAAACACACAGACACAATTAATCGTCGATCCCCAGGGAAATATGGGAAAATATGGGAACTGGGGGGGGAATACACAAACCCAGATAATATCCGAAAATATGTGGAACCTTTTTTTGTGTATTTACTAGTGTGTCCTGGGGCCCCTTCAGCTTGAACGCGCCTCGCGCTGTTTTAAACAGCACTTAGGACAAAAGGTACCCTGCTGTTTTCATGTCTGAGAAGGCGGGGGAGGAGGTAGTGGAGGAGGAGGGGCCATTAAGCGCGAGGGGGGAGCCCGCACGTTTTCGCTCGTTGGTTTGGGGGGGAGGCGGAGGAGGAGGAGGAGGAGGAGGAGGAGGAGGAGGAGGAGGAGGAGGAGGAGGAGGAGGAGGAGGAGGAGGAGGAGGAGGAGGAGGGAGGAGGGGGAGGGGGGGGAGGGGAAGAAGGGAGAGCTGCCTGTGGAGGAGGGGGAGAGGCCCGTGACCGCGAGGCGAGGGCGCAAACGCATTAGGTTTTTTTATGGTTTCGGGAGGAGGCGTCGGAGGGGGGCCCGCGAGCGCGAGCCGCTCTCCTGCGGCCAAGGGAGCGGGGAGGAGGACGAGGCCCACGTCGGGCGGCAGGAGCGCAGGGGCCACGATCGCCGGGGGAGTCGGGGACTGCAGGGCGCACGGAGGAGGAGGCCCCCAGAGCCGGACGGAGGGCGAAGGGGGGTCCTCCTCCTCCTCCTCCTCCTCCTCCTCCTCCTCCTCCTCCTCCTCCTCCTCCCTCCTCCCTCTCCTCCTCCTCCTCCTCCTCGGGCGCCGCGTAATGGGGGGGGTCATAAATGGGGGGGTGGCGAGGGTGGTTCGAACAGGTACCCAAACAGTACCTAAACGAGCCCCCTGGGGCTCTGGAGGGGCCCGAAAGGGGCACGACAGGGGGCCGTTTCTGACCCCCCCGTTTATGACCCCCCCATTAAGCCACGCCCAAGGCAAGGAAACGTCGGGGGATCGACGATTTTGGGAAACTGCCCCTACAAGGGTTTCAGATCTCCGCCGGGGCTCCTTTCGATTCCTCCCAGTCGAGTCGGGTCGATGTGATTTCTTCGACGGTTTCTGATTCCGATGGGATTTGATTCTGGATTCCGATCTGGATTCCGATGTGGGTTCTGATGTGTCAATGGAGGCCGAATTGCTATCCTGCCAATTTCCGCCGATTCGGTATCTCCCGACCCGGCTGCCGATTTCTCCGCCGATTTGATTCATATTGATCGCCGATCCGTCCTGCCACACTGCCACGGCGGGCCGGAAAGGAGTACTAGGCGCACGTTTCTTCACCCCACTGCCCCACCGTTAGTGGACACCCGATGGAGCGAGAAACGGCTCTGACGTAAATGTTGTTGTTAATTTGGAGGTCCCCGTCATTTGCCATCGGTTCTCGGAGGTTTTCCAGTTCCGGGATGCTCTCCAGCATCTGCGCCTCGCCGAAAGCGTGCTGGGGGTCCCGAGTCGACGTGGACGGTCGCTGGAGACAAGAGCGATGACCCGAAAGCCAGACGACGAGGATCATTCCGATCGGACGAAGGGAGGCATTGGGCCAGGATGGGGGGGGAATTCTGCTGCACGCCGCTGGCTTTCCCCGCGCTTCTCGGCGCCACAGGCAACCGTGAATGCGAGAGGGTAGCAGGCGACCGGAGGACGCCGACTGTACACCCCGCTCCTTGTCCCTCCTCCGCCTCCCCCAGGTCTTCTCGTTTCTCCCGCTCTTGCTCCTGCTCTTTCATCCGCGTCCTCCTCCTGCTCATTTTGCTGCTCGTCGTCGTGTCATCCTCCTTCCTCATCCTCGTCTTTCCCCTTCCTCATCCTCGTCCTTTCTCATCCGTGCCTAGTCGCTCCTCCCCTTCCTCCCCGTCACCCGCCTGATCTTCGTCTTCCTCCTGCTCATCCTATGGCTTGCTCATCCGCCACCTCCTCCTCCTCCTCCTCCTCTTCTGGCCACGTCAGGGGGTCGCACGCACCGATCCTCAGTCCAGGGGGGGGGTGGGCCTTGCCGGGGTCGGTGCAGATGGACAGATGGCGCCCTCCCACCCGAGGAGCAGGAGGCGAGGACCAGAGCAAGCTCGAGACGCATCAACGATGCTGCAATCCACCCTCCCGTCCCGCAGGGCGTACATGACATGTTGGCGCAACCGAAGACCTCCCGAGCCCCAAGGGCAGTGGAATCACCCTTGCGTAGGAGGGTAGGGGGTCCTCCTCCTCCTCCTCCTCCTGCTCCTCCCCCTCCTCCTTCTCCTCCTCCTCCTCCTCCTCCTCCTCCTCCTCCTCGGTCGGTCGGTCGGTGACTAAGGGAATGAGTCTGAATCCCAATCGATGTGTGAGACGAGAGCGGCAGCAGAGAGAAAAAGAGGCGGAGGCAGCGATCGCGGCAGCGTGCAAGCTTCGAGGGTGAAACTAGTCATATCCCCCCCCTCATTAACAAAGCCCAGTCCCTGTCCACTATGAGCCACTTTAAATGCCCAGTCCTGGTACTGGGAGTCGAGCCCGTACTCGTGGTGATCGACCGCGCACTTAGGTAGGTCAACCACGGTCGGTGGGGAAAATGACGGGCACCAGATGCTGGTACAAATTCGGGCTAGTCGGGACACTGCCGACAAATCCGCGAAAAACACACCTTCCCCCGAATACAGCAAGAGTTTCGGAGCTGCGCACACCACTAGCCGAAAAAACCCTCATGATGGTGCGACCACCCCACAAGGAAACAGTTAGAAGCGCCCTTCCCTCTTAGGGTACTGCGAGATTAGGTGCCGCGCACACCGCGCTTCTAGGAGGGGAGAAGATGTGTGCCCTGCTGAGCGTGGTCCCGGTCCCCGAACTCCAAGAAAGGATCGAGTGGCAGATGGAAAGGGGCAAAATCCTCATCCAAGACTTGAGGGGGTTCCCCAGGAGCACCAAA